CCCAGAATAGCTCAGGGCTGAGCCCAGCCTGGGACAGACTTGTGTGTACATGAACTACTGGAGCTTGTGTACCAAGACGCTGGTGTGCAGGGAAGTGCATTGCACTCCCCATGCTGCTCTCTGTGTGTCTGTGTCCTTGGAGGTGGATGTACAAATGGGGCTGCCACCGAGGAGCTGCGTGGAATGGGGCCCCACCTTTCCATACGGCCCAGTTGAGTAGGCTCACTGGCTCATTTCTCACCTGTGGAACTGCATGTATGCACAGGACGTGTTTATGTCTGTGGGGAGCTGAAGCAAGATCCCTGTGATTTGGTAGAAAGACCAAGGGGGCAGAACCGGATCCGCAGTCAAGGACTAACTGGCAGAGATGCTGGCCACGTCTTGCCACATATGGCAGAAAACAGGGAGTGCTGATACCTGTGAGGTGGCCAGAGCTCCATAGTCTTCCACACGCAGGGGCAAGTTTGTGACCAGGAAGTCATATCTGGTGAAGAAGACTGCTCAGGCAGTATGGTCTCTCTTCAAACACTTGCGCAGATGGGGAAACTGAGGCCACAGAAGGAAAGGGCTGACCTGGAGGTACCTGACACAGACCGGTTCTTTCTAGCTCATGGCCTGCTGCCCTGCCTGTTAAAAAGAGGCAGGCAAAAGGCAGAGGTAAAGAAGTAGAGCTCTGGGGAACGAGGCTCCCTCGGGGGCACAGGAGAGGGTGCAGAAGGCAAAACTCGGGGTGAGGGACTGGAGAGATAGCTCAGCGGCTAAGAGAGATGACTGCTGTCCCAGAGTCCTGAATTCAATTCCCAGCACCCACACGTGGCTCACAACCATCTACAGTGGGATCTGATGCCCTCTTCTGGCATAAAGTCGTGCCTGTAGATAGAGCGCTCATACATAAAGCAAACAAATAAATCATAAAAAAATATGAAAGACAGAAAGCACAGTAAGTACTTGTTTGCAGGAATGAGGACCTGAGTTTCATCCCCAAAACCCATGTGAAAAAGCCGTGTGTGGTGAACATTTGTAATCCTGTCACCCGGGAAGCAGAGACAGGCAGAGCCCCGATAGTCACTGGCCAGTCAATCTAGCCAATGCGGTAGGTCAAGGCCAATGAGAGATTGTCTCAGAAATAAAAGGGACAGCACCGGAGGAAATCCAGCCACACATGTGCATGTGCATACACACACACATCTTACACACACACAAGAGAAACCTGTAATGTATTTACCTTTTGAAAAGCATTTCAAAGAAAAAAAAAAGAAAGCAAAGGTTGGAAAGAGGGAGAGGTCTTGGGCAGATGGGGAGGGAAGAAGAGGTTGGAGGAGGGTTTCTGAGGTGGACACCCTAGAGTAGAGCAGTGTGGGAAAGGGGGGTGAATGAGAGTGTCACCTGTGTGGTAGGGGCCCAGGGCAACAAATTCTGAGCCTGGCACTGTAGGGCAGCTTGGCAGAACTTAAGTTCTCACCAAAAAACAACCAAAGGGAGTCAGGGCTGCTAAAGTTGGCAGGCCCCTTCCTGGAGTTGTCTCTTCTTGGACGCCCCTCTACCTCCGGGCAAGATGGATGGAGGCCGTCCAAGACTTGGGTCGGGGGCAGGTGGGCCATCCTTACTCTCTTTCACAGCTGTTTCTTTCCCAGGCTTCTTCCCTCTGTGCTCAAACTGGAAAGGGTCAGAACCAACTCAGCCAGGCTAATCAGCCCCTTGAGGCCAGGTGCCCCTGCAGGTGCCGGGGTGACTCACTTGCCGGCCAAAAAGGGAGCCCGGCAGCCAGACAGCAGCCCTCTTGTTACAGGTTTGGACCATGATCCCTTCTCCTTCCAAGAGTTTGGTCTGGAACTGCGCCGCTTTTTCCAAGGTCGAAGGCTTTGGCACAGGAAACTGGCCAGCTTCAGGCTGTACCCGGAATGGCTGCAGGGGGCCTCCTTCAAGGTCACACACAGCCAGTAGCTGCTACCGAACGACGCCCAGCTTAGGGGCTGCGGGTCATCATGGCCGATTGGTCTAAGCAACAAGTTTCCCAAATATACCAAGGATTCCTTCGCGGGGGTGTGGGAGTGAGGATGGGGGCTCGATGACCCAAAAGGGGTCGGCAAGGTTCCAAGGCTGCAGTCCGGTCAGAGTCGGTGGGCAAGAAAATCGGGTGGCCTCAGGCACCGCCCGCCGTCCTCGGATCTGGGAGGGGAAGATGAGAGGCGACTGACAGCCAGGGTGCGCTCCTGGGGTGCACGCCGGCCGGAGCAGAACTTTTCCAGTCCGGCGGTGGCAGGAGACGCGCCTGAAGAGTGTTACTGGCGCGGGGACTATCCGAGGCCGCGCCCCGCCTCCTCGGAGGCGCCCCCGTGCGAGCAACACCCCGGGGCGGGGCGCGGAGAGGGAGGGCGGCGGGGCACGGAGCTGCGCGGCCAGTCGGGACACAGCGGCGCGTGGCGCAGGTAAGGGCGCGCTTCGGTGGGCGGGGTCCGCTGCTCCACGAGCTCGGCGGCGGGTGGGGGCTCTCGCCTGCTCCCGCTGCCATGGTCCGGATACCTCCATCTGCGGTCTCGGCGGAGATCTTAGCTTCGTCCTCCCTCTCCCTCGGCCACCCGGCTCCTGTTTGAACGCCGCGCGGGGTCCTAACCCCCGCAGCAGTGAGGAGCGCTAGCCAGGACCGGTGTGCCAGTGTATCACCAAGAGGGACTGCCAGGAGGAGGTGACCTGGCTGGTCAGGGCGGAAGGGCTGACAGAGAAGTCGAGAAGGTGGTGCTGTTTGCTTGGGAGGAGCGTAGACAAATGCCCAAAGGTTGGAGCAGAGTAGTTTGGACAACTCCCGGGACTGCGCCAGGGAAGGCAGAGGAAGGGGAAGCTGGGCCAGACACTACTGCAGAGACTGGGAGGTGTCTAGGGCCAGAATCTTGGACCCTTAGAGAGGCAGAGCTGGGCCTGAAACCTGGAGGGGCAGGTGCGACTGTTCTACCCACTTGTTTCCTTGGGGCAGACACTCTCCGCAGCCCACTGGGTATGTAGGTTGATTAATGGGCCTCCAGCGTGGTCTAGGAAAAGGCCTCCCAGCAAAAATAAGGTCCATGCCAGTCCAGACCAGGAAATACCAGAGTGAGTGCCATACTAGGGTGCGGCTGAGGGGCCTGAGGGGTCAGGGCTGGATGAGGGCGGAGAAGGCTCCAGTGACCCTGCTCAGGGAAAGTCTGGTGTGGACAGAGGCCAGGAATGCAGAGTAAAGGGAGCAGGTCAGACTACTGTTCAGATGACCACAAGGACAATAGCTGACTCACCTGTGCACGACCCAACTTACTTGTCTGGCCTCACCCTATCTGTGAGCATTCAGTCTACCTCGAGTGAGACAGGAGGCTGGGCCCTCGGGAATGCACTGCGTACCTACCTCTGTGAGTCACCCAGCATCTCTGAACCACTTCCTTCTGGCTTCCTGGACTGTCTGTGCCTCTCTCTGTTTCTCCCTTCACACAGCCTGCCACTAAGGAACCCAGAGTTGGCAAGAGGGAGACTCTAAGAAGGCTGTGTCCTGTCCTCGATTAGAGGGGACGGTGGGCCCAGGATTAGGGGGAGAGTTCTCTGTTATTCCACACTGCACTTCCCTGCAAACTCAACTCGCAAACACTCCCAGCCCAGACCTGCATCGGACTCCCAGGACCAAGTGCAGTTTTCTGAGACTCCCTTCACTGTCTCTGCTTAATTTCTCCCTTTTCCTCTGGGTGATGAGATTTCCTGGGGGTGGAAATCCTTCCCGGACCACTGGCCTGGAAAGCACTGTGGAGTTAGTCACTATACTATTAACCTGGGTACGTAGGATCAGCTCAGGTCTAGTCTATGCTTTGGGATGTCTGGGGATGTGGAGCTTAATGCCCAGGTTCTATGCCAAAAGACGCTTCTCTCTACAGTTTGTTCTTCTGAGGGGCAACCATGGTAGTCTGAAGTGTTTGTATCTAGTTAGATCTCCATTTGAGAAAGGACCAGGGACGAGGGTGCGCTGTGATGTAACAGATCGAGATGCTCACTTCTGGTGAGCAGGCGAGGTTGTGGGCTGGGTACCAGGGTAGTTCAAGGTTGCAGTGATAGACTTTCTAGTCTGTCAATTTCTGGAAGCATGGTTGAGGGCCAGGGAGGTCCGGGTCATGTAGCTCACTGTAACCCCTCAGCTGGGCTCTCCTGGTCAGTGGGAACTGAACCAGAGGCTCTGTATCTGTTCTCCTCTTCTTCCACTTGTGTGCAGGGGACTCCAATAACGGTCAACAAAGATGGGTGCAGCTGGGTGTCCCATGGTTTCCTTTTCCTGACTCTCCTTCCCACAGCCTCACCCTCCCCACACAGACGGCAGCAGGAAAGGTGGGGCAGGAATGCCTTGGCCCAGGATCAGGGCCAGAGTCCTGAGGTTCCCGCCCTCCTCTATTCTGGAGCCAATTCTCTGGGAGTCCTGGGTTCTCCCAGAGATCTGTGATGCCCCTGTAGCATCTTTTGGGTGGATTCAGGAAGACTGATCCCCTTCCCATTTACTGGGATCTGCCTGATGTCCCCTGCCCATCCTCAACTGTCCTGAGGGCATCTCTTGCCTTACCCAGGTCTGCTAATCTAAGTGTTTCAGAGTGTAAGGGCTAGGCAGAGTGAAGACACTTTAACTCAACCCTGAGGCATCTGTCAGATCAGCCATTTGGACAGATGATTATCCTTGCCAAACGAGGGTAGCAGGGGTTGCTGGGTGGGGCTTTTCCTGGGCCCAGGGTCACAGAGAGCCCCACTATGGAGGGGGGTCAAGCATGCTCCCTCTCTACCCTTGCCTCATGTCAGGATGCTGCATCGCTGCTTTCTTAGAAGATCCCTCATTTAGAGCAAAACCGTTCAAGGCTCCAGCTGACCTGCCTGCCCGCCTGCCCCAGTGACCCTGTTCCTGAGTGGTACCAGCTTAGTCTGGTTGGGGGAGGTAGACATATAGGGTATGGGCTCCTGCCCGTGCTGAGCTTGTTCATTTCCTGGCTCTATCTGCCACCTATCATCAGGTTTGTCCTGCTGAGTCTGATGTTACCTTGCTCTGAAGCCCTCCATGTCTTCAAGGTTGACTGGAGCCAATTCAAGCTTGTCTTCTGGCCAATGAAGGTGGGCCGTCCTCCCAAGCTGGACTGACACTCCAATGAACCTTTGCTTTTATGTCTCCCCAGTACTATGCTGTCCTCCTCTTCCCCTCTTTCCTCATCTCTCTCCTCCTTTCTGATAAGGTCCCAGGCTGCCCTCAAATTTACAGCAAGATCCTGCTGCCTCAGCCTCCCCAGTGCTGGGTCCTCAGGCCGTTGCCACCATGGTATGCTGCTCATCTTTGTCCCCCCATTGTGGCTTCAGCAGGAAGCCTCCAGAGGCTCTTGCCTCAAGTCCTTCCTGGCTTACTCAGCTCTGTCTAGTGACAAGGAACCCGGGCCTGGCCATCATGATATTGTTGAACTCTTCCGATAGCATGCATGTCCCGGTTCCCTGATGACTGCGCAGTCCCCAAGTGGTAACTTTCAGTGGAAAGGTGGCCAGGGCAAAGAATGACTAGATAGTCATCTCCCTAGGTGCAGGGACCCATGGCAGTGTTTGAACAGACCAAACTGAGCTGAAGGAGACATGCTCTTGGGTGGAAAGGGATGCTTCCTTGGTAGTTTTCAGCTCTCCTATTCCAGGGCCCCATGAGGAAGCAGGACAGAGGTCAGTGGCCAGAAGAGGTCTCCTCTTTGAGAGAAGCTGGACTAAGAGAGTCTGATGTGGATGGTTATGGGACTTGCTTCTGGGAACTAGGGAGGATATTTGTGACCCTATCTTGTGTCCCGTGTCCTTTCTCTCCAATAGGCCCCCTGCCTCACACCCTGGCTATGTGTAGTTCTGAGGAGGCAGACCTGCTTCGGCTGGAGGAGGTCTTCTCAACTACCCTTGCCCGCACCAACAGTCTCATTCTCCAGCCGCTGCTCTTAGCTGGTGAGTCAGGCCCTCAGTGGCCCCCAGGGATTAGAGTCCTGCCTCGTTAGACATCCTGAGGCAGCTTTCTCAGCCTCACGTGGGAGTGGTGGCACTTGATACTGCCATCTCTTGATGGAGCTGAAGCCTTGGTCACAGGGAACTGGTGGGTCCCTTCCCAAATGGCCTCTGAAGACCACAGGCCTAGCTATACCGCTTGCCTCAATTCTTGCTTCCACTCAGGGTTCCTGGTGGTGCTTTGGGGAGGCCTGACTAGAAGGCAGAACACAAGGCTTTCACTTTCTTGTCATGTGACCTTGGGCAAGCGCCTCTTCTCACTGTGCATCTGTAAGGTGGCTGGGGACCGACCCTGAAGACTCCACAGTTTGCTTCTGGGTCTAGAGAGAAGAGGCAGAGAATCGGGGAGCCAGGAAACTTGGCTCCCCCAAGATAATTAGAGTTGTCCTGTTAAGTAGGAGGCATATGCACAACCAGGCTTACTCCAGAGTTCAGCCCTTTACTCCAGCATGCCCTGCCCCTAAGGAGCCCTAGGCCCTAGAGTCTAGGGGTGCTGGTACTGTCTTGAGCACCCAGGGCTACAGGATCTTTCCTCAATGTCAGCTCAAGGAGGGTGTGCTTTCCACAGACCCCGAACCCTCAGACCCCTGTGACAGAGAGTGCCTTCGACTTCTGCAGCAGTTGCATGAAAGTACCCAGCGGTTATGGGAGGTGACAGAACAAAGCCTGCATTCGCTGCGGCAGAGGCTGTACCACCCACCCTCCATGGGTCTGGAGGCCCTGCTGTTGCTGAAGAACGCTGACCATGTCCTACAGGCCCACGTGGAGTAAGACCCCCTGGGGCAGTCTGTGGCTTGGCCACACTGCCAAAGTGTTACCTCCGCTACTTGGTCTGTCAAGGGTCACCGTCACCTGGAGTGGGGTTTCTGGGTCGGGTGTTGGCTTGGCAGCAGGGTCAGAGCTGGATCAGGCCTATAAGATACAACTGTTGAGTCAGGGCTTGAGGGTGTCAAGGAATTGCCTGGGCCATAGGGTTCTGTGGGTGGGATCTGGGACCTCAAAAGGGCAGGGGCTGAGTGTGTTGGGAGCTGGGCTTTCAAGGTGATCTTGGGTTCCCCATAGGTACATCAAGTCCTATACCGACTGTGTGGTGATGCAGGCCTTTAAGAAGGTTTCAAAGAGGAGGAGGTGAGCCTGGGGCTGCCATGGTAGTTTCCCACGTGTGTGGGTGTCTAGAAGAGGGGGATTTTAGAAAGCTCACCCCAAAGGAGCAGGTGTCATGTCCACCTGCCACTCTGGTGTCTGCAGTCAGTGTCCCTGTCTCCTCTAAGGTGTGGCTGCAACACCTCCAGAAAGAGAGCTCAAAGTTTTGCTGGACTAATGGGGTACAGGGCTGGGGTCCTGGGTCTGGGAGCCCGGAGCGTGGTTAGAACAGGGTGGGATAGGTGGGTGCGGGCCTGGAAGGGGTGGAGGTAGTACGTGACCCTTCCTAAATGCAGCGACTACTGGAGGAGCCAGCGGAAGACCCTGCGGCAGCTGCTGTCCTGGGCCGGCTCTGAGGGCTCGGTGGGCACCATGCTGTGCCAGGCCCTCAGCCAGCCACTCACCCAGCACGTGCAGAAATATGTGCTCCTCCTACTGAGCCTCAGGGACACCCTTGACGAGGTTGGTAGGATGGGTGTGTGTAAAGGAGGAGCTGGTGGAGAGAAGCGTGGCTCAGGGAGACCGGGTTAAACAGTAGGGAGGGGCCCCAAGAGAACATAGCCTTGCTCTGCGGAGGGTTCTGGGGGCATGCATCTGCTCTGTGGAATTTTGGGCACATGCCTCTTCCTTGATGGGGGCAGTTGACACTCAAAGGGCAGACATAGACTTTCTACTGGGTGTGAGGACATATGACCCAGGGCCATGCTATTGGTGTCACTGAAATGTCCCTGTCCCCAAAAGAGTAGTCAGGGAGAAAAAGTGAGCTGTGGTTTAAACTTAGGCCAGGCTGGGGCCCTCATAACCACCACGGGGATGAGGGCTGGTGCCGAGACCTTCAGAGCCTCCCCACCTGTCTTGTCCTCCCACAGCACCACCCAGCCCAGGAGCGGGTGATGCATGCAGTCACTCTGTTTGGGAACCTGGAGTCCTTCATGAGGCAGGCCTTGGACCAGGCTGTGACCACACAGGCCCTGTGGCATAGTCTCAGCAGCCGGATGAGGGTGAGTCTGGGGCTTTGGGGCAGCCAAGGAAGGGGGTTTCACATTGGCTGTGAGGCTGTGCTGGGTGAGCAGCTCCTGCCTCAGTTTCCCCATCTGGAAGGAAGACTGTTGGGGGGAACTCCTACACAGCTGCAGCTGGCTCCGGAAGGTTGGCACACAGCCTTAATCTGCCCTTTGTCTTCAGCACCTTCTGTTTAACAAATGCAAATCTGAAAATTCCCTAAAGGTGCAAAGCCTATGTAAAACTTGGCTGGGAAAATCCCAGTATTCCTTATCAAGAATTTGCATTTGTCATTATCCCTTTGGAAGCTTAATTAAGATGTTTTGGGATATGGAAATCAACTGGCTAAGGTGTAAATTGGAAAACAATAAAGAAGCCATTAGCTAAGGTAAATCGGCCAGGCAATCTCAGTCCCCGGAGGCTGAATCCTCCTGCAGCTGGAAAAGCTATTTCCTTCTTTTTTTGTTTTGTTTTGTTTTGTTTTCAAGACAACTTTGGTGCCTGTCCTGGAACTAGCTCTTGTAGACCAGGCTGGTCTCTAATTCACAGAGATTCACCTGCCTCTGCCTCCCAAGTGCTGGGATTAAAGGTGTGCACCACCACCACCCGGCTTTTTTTATGTTTTTTTTTTCTTTTTCTTTTTTTGCTATTTCCTTCTTAAGGTACCTCCGAGTCTTCTTCCACCTTGAACCCACACCCATTCAACAACAGAAGACTTATATATAACCTGGTGGCTGTCTGTCACCCGTAGCCATCTGCTGGGTCAGCAGAACTGACTTTCTTTCTGGTGGTGTCATGAATTACATATTCCTGACACTGTCCAGCACAACATATAATGCCCCTTCAGGAAAGAGAGTCCTCGTGTCCACAGAAGACAGACATAGCAGGCTTGGACCAGGAGTAGAGAGGACCAGAATAACCATGGGAGACAGGGGATAGCATACTGGTTGTGAGGGTAACAGGAACCCCCTGGCTGTGACAGGGATGCAGTATGGAGACACCCAGGAAAGCCCCAGAGAGAGAAGCTGTGCTGTCCTTCTGGGCTAGCCCAGGGATGACCCCCCCATCTTGGAGCGTGTGTGTGTGTGTGTGTGTGTGTGTGTGTGAGAGAGAGAGAGAGAGAGACAGAGAGAGAGAGAGAGAGAGAAAGAGAAGAGAGAAGAGAGCGAGCGAGCTGGGGACTACCCCAGGCCTGCTGGGATAGTCTCTGGGAGGTGTCTGGGGCGCAGGAAGGCCTGCAGGGCTTCCATCAGCCTCCAGTGTAAACACACTAGACACCTAACTCTTGCCTCTCTCTTTGTCCCACCAGGATGTGCTGTGTACCCCTGCCCACCGACTCCTACAGGACAGCCAGGACATCCCTGTAGTGGTCACCCCACTACGGGCTGAACGTGTGCTGCTCTTTGATGATGCCCTTGTTCTGCTACAGGTTAGAAGGGTTATCGTGAGGTGGGGCTCTGGGATCAGGTGAGAAACTGAACAAACCACAGGCTTAGAGACTGGGGGAGGGGGAAAGGCCAAGGCTTGCAAGTCAAGTGTAAGACTGATGTGGGCTTTAGGGTTTGTCCCACAGCCAGCAACTTTGACCAAACTCACCTGGCGCTTGGGCTCATAGCTGTGTCTCCCCTGCCTCAGCATGGTGGCTTGGTTTGGGGTGTGTGTCCACCTCTGATTGTGTCTGTGCCTCCTCTGATTGTGTCTTTGCCTCCTCTGATTGTGTCTGTGCCTCCTCTGATTGTGTCTGTGCCTCCTCTGATTGTGCCTGTACCTCCTCTGATTGTGTCTGTGCCCTCCTCTGATAGTTCCCGTGCCCTCTGATTGTGTCTGTGCCTCCTCTGATTGTGTCTGTGCCTCCTCTGATTGTGTCTGTGCCTCCTCTGATTGTGTCTGTGACTCCTCTGATTGTTCCCGTGCCCTCCTCTCCTGACATCTCAGTTTGTTCATTGGAGATGTTTCTAGTCCTTCTCTGCTTGTATGAGTTCCTTTTCTTGTTGCTGCTACAAAATGTCTAACACAAACAACCCGAGGGAGAGATAGAAGGAGGAGGAAGCTGGGCCTTTGCTCATGCTGTCGTTTTGTGGGATGCTCTGCTGTCTTATAAACTCTCCATTCCCTTGTGGCCTGTATCTTTTCTACTTCCTGGTCAAGTGAGGATCTGCTGGGCCAATGGGAGATGGTGATGCTCCAGATGGGACGTCCGTCAGGCTCAGCGTAGGGTAGGAGGACCACCATGAGGAAAGGTGGAGTGGGGAGAGCTTGGGGCAGGCTCAGGAGGCTGTGACGGAGGGACAGCTGGCAGCTCCAGCGTGGAGAGTGTGAAGATAGGCGCATGAACCTGGACACGGGTCAGGCTCTACAGGCGGCCTCGGTCCCCAGGTGCGAGGGGCTACCAGGGGCCGACTGTGTTTCTAAGAAAACCCTGGCAACCACACGAGGTAAGGGAGGCCTGTCCAGGTGCCTTGCCAGCTCCGAAGGTACAAAAGCTGCCGCTGAAGGGGATGGGGCTGATGCTCGTCCCTGGCATGGGAGGGGGGGTCCCCAGGGTAGGTGTCTGTAGGCACAGCTCTGGATAACACTCATCTCCTTCCAGGGCCACAATAGCCACTCTTTTGACCTGAAGTTGGTGTGGGTAGATCCTGGCCAAGACAAGTGAGTGACTTCCTCTGCCAGTGTCCCCGGACTTCCCTCCCTGTGCCTGCCCCATGGTACCTGCTCACACCCCCAGGCTCTCACCTGAGCCCCACTGACAACCCTAGACAGGACTGGGGCTCACTGGTCATCTCCGTCTTCCTAGGTGTGTGCTTCGCATCCTCACACCCGAAGAAGAGTTCTCCTTCTGCACCAGAGACCCCCAGGGCCAGGTGAGTGAGGCTGAAGCATGTGGTGGGGATGAAGTCAGAAGCCGGGGAGGGTGGAGGGCCAGTCCTACAGGACTCAGGAGGGCAGCAGGGGTATGCCTAGGGTTTAGTGTCAGGATGTTAGAGGAAAAGGAATTTCCCTAACTGAAGTAGCCGCCCAAGTCATGCCTGTGCCCACCCTCCTGTGCAGCGTTCTGGGTTGTCTAGTCCCTGGACTGTGCACAGGATCTCAGGTCTGATCCACACCAGAGAGGGGCAGTGTACTTGGGGACAGAGTTACCTGTGGCAACAATGACATATTCACTGCCTTCCTGTCCCCACCAGGTTGTCTGGCGGTGGAAAGTGACCCATGCTGTGTGCCAGGCCCTGCGTGGCAAGAAGGACTTCCCTGTGCTGGGGTTAGGCCCGGAGTCAGCTGTACCCCCTGACTGCCGCTGTGTGGCCTATACTTTCCGCCGCGAGGGCCGGCTCTACCAGGCTACCTATGAGGGTGATTGGTGTCGGGCCAAGCCCCACGGCAAGTGAGTCACCATTCCTGTGTGCACTTCCAGCTGGTCATCAGAAGGGAGTAGACTAGACACTCCATCAACTAGGAGTTTTCTCAAGCTTGGCATTTACCTCCTGTGGCTCAAGAGGAACGTAGATGTTTCCAGGATTCTCCCCATGGGAGGTGCCGAGAGTACCCAATGCCCCCCAAGGCTGCTGGCGCAGGAGGTGGGGGGTTCTGTGAGGGATTTCAGTGCTCAAGTGAGGACTAGGTGAGCAGAAAGTCTAGTTGGAAGACCCTAGGGTAGAGGGAGGGAGGGAGGACGCCGAGAGTCTGGGGGTGCAGCTGTCTGGGATGGGTCTAATGGCCTGATGTAGACCTCACCTGCGTTCCAGGGGAACCCTGAAGTGGCCAGATGGGCGGAACCACGTGGGGGATTTCTGCCAGGGCCTGGAGCATGGGTAAGGCTGACTGGGCAGATGCTGGCATATGGGGCAATCAGAGGAGCTGTCGTACATTGGGTAGCCCCGAATCCCCAGACCTCAAACAGGAGTGGGCAGGTAGCTCAGCTCCTCTCCCCACAGAAGGGAGACCTAGCTAGAATAGGAATGTGGGTCTCGGCCTGAGACTGGCTTCCCATAGGAGTGGGGAGGGCTGTCCTGAGGGTTTCTGCAAGGGGACTCTGAGATCTGTGCTTTCTGAGGGACTCCTGGGGGACAAGGACAACTGGGTAGCATGGAGGGATGTGGCAGGGGCTTCTGATTGGGCAAGTGGCCTGGATACTCACCTCTGATCCCACCCAACCACACGGTCAGCTTTGGCATCTGCCTGGTGCCCCAGGCCTCTGAGGACAAGTTTGACTGTTACAAGTGCCACTGGAGGGAAGGCAGCATGTGTGGCTATGGCATCTGTGAGTAAGTGACCTTTGACCTGTGGGGAAGAAGAGCGGGGCGGGACATCCTCTAGACTGCGCTCCTCAAGGTGGAGCCGACTGTTGGCGAATCTCTCCAGGTACGGCACTGACGAGGTGTACAAGGGCTATTTTCAGGCTGGCCTTCGGCATGGATTTGGTGTCCTTGACAGTGCCCCGCAGGCCTCCCAGCCCTTCAGGTACACGGGCCACTGGGAGAGAGGCCAGAGGAGTGGTTATGGCGTTGAGGACAACAGCGAGAGGTGAGTGCTGGCAGAGAGACCCCTCAGCCTTGTTCTGTCCCAGGTGCCTGCCTCCGTGGTACTTCCCTCTACCTCTAGGGGGCTCCACCCACCATGCCTTCTCCTAAGGAGGATTCCCTTCTCTGTCCTTCTGTTCTCCTTGGGTTTCTGACTTCATTTTCTCCTGTCACCCCCTGCCTCCCCGAAGTCCCTGCCAGCAGAGCATCCAGAAGGCACAAGGGAACCGATCTGAGCCCCTTCTCATGCCCTCTTCCCTTAGGGGTGAGCGCTACATTGGCATGTGGCAGGCTGACCAGCATCATGGCCCTGGGGTCGTGGTCACCCAGGCAGGCGTCTGCTATCAAGGCACATTCCAAGGGGACAAGATGGCCGTGAGTGGTAGCCCCTTCCCTGGGCAGTCTGTAGCTGAATTAAAGACAAGCGGAATGGATGGCAAGGGACGCTCAGCTCCTCCACCCGTCTACCCTGACTTTGGCAGGATCCAGGCCTTTTAGCCCCGCTTCCCTTATCTTCAGCTCGGGTCAACCATGCTTATTGTACACATCAGCTAGGAAGAACCAAGGGTGTCATTGGTGAGCTAGTGGCATCCATAGGCCTCCTCACTGGCCCGCACGGGAATCTCCATCATCCCTCTGGGGTCCTTGTGTGACTCCTGCCATTGGTGCCATTGTTCTTAGCGTATGAATGGCATGTTTATTAACGGCATCAGAGAACCTGCCCAACTTCACATCCTGCTGAGACCGAGATCAAACCCTAGTTTCCCAGCTCTTACCTTCTGCCTCCCTGCTGGCCAGGGGCTTGACGCCTGGTGGGGCTCTGGCCAAAAGCTATGCACGGTTTTGTGGGTTGTTTGTTTAGACCCCACCTAGTTCTGTAAGGAACCGAAGGAGACCTCAAGGGGAAGGAAAGGCAAGCATAGGCCCACAAACTAGAGTCAGAAACAAGTTGAAAATGAACTTGTCTGGGTTTCCTGGCAGGTGCAGTAGAAAGGGGACTTGATTGGCCTTGAGGATCCAGGGCAGTAACAGGGAAGCAGAGGCAGCCAGCACTTCCTATGGAGGAATCTCATCTGAGGGCTAACTAGGGGACACAAGGGGTGGGGTTCATGGGACTCAGCACATCTGGGGAGGGCGGTGCCAGAGCTTGGATGCTCTTGGTCTTGTGGGTCAGTGCCCAACCATCCTGGTTTTCTGTCCAAACTCACCTCCCTTTCTCTTTTCTCACTTCCTTTCAAGGGCCCAGGCATCCTGCTGTGTGAAGATGACTCTCTGTACGAGGGTACTTTCACCAGGGACCTGACGCTCCTAGGGAAGGTGAGAGCCATCCGCATCTCCCATCCCACCCCATAAAGCCAGGGCTTAGAGCTGAGGATGAAGGTAAAGAATGGACAGCTGGAGAACACCCCTCCCGCCTCCGTGGTGTCCAAGGGGTCCCATGTCCTTGCCATGCTGTGTGTGGTACTGACTTAGCAGAACAAGGTGACACGGGACTGGAGGATTTGCCTCATGCCCAGAGGGCACAGGCTGGCTGTGTCCATGCTGTGCCCTTACACAGCCGTCACCACCCGAGCCTTTGGCAGCTGTCCCTGGGGTAACAGTTCTTTCTTCCTGCTCAAGTTGATGTGGCAAAAGGCAGTTGGGTCCATGTTGGGTCCTTTGGGAACCTGGGGGACAGTTTGGATGTAGAAGGATGGAGCAACTCCGCACAGCAAGAAATTGCCCCTCTAGATCCCTAGCCTCTCAACAGAGGGGGGTGAGACTTCTAGAATATTCCAGCACCTTGAATGGATAGGTGGAACTCATGGTTGGACATTTCCATCTGACCCAAGTGGGTCAACATTGACACACTTGGCTGGCACAGCTCGCTGGGCACACAGTTATACCTGTCTTCCCTTTTTGCTCCCAGGGCAAGGTCACCTTCCCCAATGGTTTCACCTTGGATGGTTCCTTCAGCAGTGGGACAGATAAAGGACTGTACACACAGGGAGTGCTGGACACAGCTGCTCTCCCGCCCAACCCAAGCAGCACACGCAAGAGGTGAGAGCCCAGCCTATTTGGCAGTGTGTATCTCTTTCCCACCTAAGGTCCCAGGGCTCAGTGGAGGCCTTTTACCAGAGTCCAGAACCCCAGGTCTTCCAGCCAGAGACTCTTGAAGTCTAGGGCTAGGTGAATGTACTGCCATACATAAACTGGAAGAAAAATAGGATTTGTAAGTCTCACTTTGATCCTGGTTTTAGCTTTTCTTTTCTTTTTTATTGTTTTCATTGAACTATACATTTCTCTTCAAGATAGCTTCTAAGTCAAACACACAAGGAAAAAAACGGAAAATAAAATTGTGAGTGGATCTTAAAAGAAAGAGATAGACACGCGGTTACAGATAGTACCTCTTCCTGGCTCTGACTTCTGGGGCGACCAAAATGAAGAAGGAAGGAAACTCTCTCCTCCACAAGGGGGAGACGATTATTTTCCCACGAAAGCAGAAGCCCCTATTGGAAACTCATAGTTTTCAAAGTCACTCTTGCCATATTTGTTGAGAATCTGGGTGTGTTGAAGGAAGAATAATGGAAAATGGTCCCAGATGGAGTTTCAGTGGTCGGGAAGGGGTCCAGCGGACTCATTTACCTATCGTCCCCGCATGTGGCTTCTCATAGTAGGAGCTGGTAGAGGCGGTGGTCGTGGGTGCAGGTGTGGTCCCTGTGAGTTGACGGCACGACAGGGTTCCCTTTGTGAGACGCTGCCTGTTAGACTTAGAGTTGGGTCTCACTCAGCCTGTGGGCAAGGCAGGACCCTCCGCAGGGAGGCGATGGGAGAGGGCAGGACGGAGCGAAAAACAGGGAAATCCTGGACTTTCAGGCACTGGTCTGTCTTGATCCAAGACCTACTGTCTGGATTTGGCCTCCAGCTCCCGAGGCCTTTTGCAGACAAGGTACCCTGTCTCTCCTCTGTTTCAACACACGCCCGTGACCCTCTGCCTCGTTTTTCTCTTCTACTTGTCTTGGAGGTCAACTCTGTCTGCATTCTCCATCCTGCCCCCTTCCTGGGACCTGACTCCAGGCCAGGCTGGTCCCACCAACCCTGCCTGCCCCAGGGGCTTGCTGACTTGCCCTTGTCTTCCACATTTCTTGCTGTTCCCCAATCACAGACAGCTGGGGCTGGGTGCCTTCCCTGTGGAGAGCCGCTGGCAAGGAGTCTACAGACCCTTCCAGGACTTCGTGCGGTCAGGCTGTCCTGGGGAACTGCAGGAAGCCCTGCTGGGCTTCCATGTGCAGAGCTCCAGGGAGCTCCGTGAACCCCAGGAGTACCTGTGCTGTGACAGGTGAGCTTGGCCCTCGGGGTGTCCCTGCAGGTCAGAGAGGGGTTAGGGAAGCTGCTGGGGATGGGTGCTGGCTCAGGGCTGGGTGAGGGACACTGTGCATGGTGCCCCAGGAGCCACCCCAAGGACTGTGCGGGCAGCATGGAAGATATCCTGAAGGAGCTGCTGCAGCACCGCGAGCCCCAGGCCCTGCAGCAGTACCTCAGGAAGGTGAGGGTCCAGGCGGGGGCATGGTGCTAACTGGAGGGGACAGGCCCATGGTGCTCCTGGTCCTCAGAGGGCCTCAGTGTTCCCGGTCTGGGAGGCTGGTCTGGGCTCCCTGGACTCCACATCCCGGCTCTGAGCATCCCTGTTGTCTTCCCCGGGCCTAGGCTCTGAGCAATCCCCGACACCCGCTGGGGAAGTTACTCCGTACCCTGATGCTGACCTTCCAGGCTACATATTCAGGCATAGGAGCCAACAAACACCTACAGGGGATGGCCCAGGAGGAGGTGAAGCTGCATGCCCAGGAGCTTTGGGCTGCCTACAGGTGAGCCTGTGCACAGGGTGACGCGCACGGCCTCAGCACTGGCCAGGATTGCCCTTTCCAAAGGCTTGCTCAGTACAGGACCAGGGGTGTCAGAGATGTCAACAAGGGCTTCCAACAGCTCCTGGCCAGGGGCCAATCCCTGTCTAGTCCGGGCACACCCCTGACCCCATAAGAACTCTACCCCTGCTGCAGGCTGAGGGTGGTTTCAAGATCTGTCTATCCTGTCCCAGCTAGAGCCTAGATCCTATGAGCATTAGCTATAGGGCTTCAGCTGCCACTAGAGTGCCAGCGCCCTCCAGCGCTTACACTGAAGCTCCAGCCTTGGACTCCCAGCGGCAGGAAAGGCTAGACTCGGAAGGCATCCCATCCAGATCGAGGCGGCCAGTTCTAGGAGAACTCTGCTCTCCATTTTGATGACTGGGAGGGTGGAATTCTGTTTCTGTGAGCATCAGCACATTACGCTCTCCTAATTGGCTTGCAGAGGTCTGCTGAAGGTTGCCTTACAGCGCCAGGGCCAGACCCTGCAGGAGGAGGACGTGGAGACAAGGTACCTGGCCAGGCCTTTGTATCTGGGGCCTCCGTCTGGGTGGCGATGCTTCTTTGTAAAGCACTGGGCGTGTATTCTATTCACCAGGCATGGTGCACTGTTATACATCACAGGGACCCATGACCTTGGTCCTGGGATCTTTGTCTTAAATGTGCCCTTCCAGCCTCATCTTTGAGTTGGGCAGAGGGGGAAACAGTTACCAGTGGCTTCCTCCTTCCTGTGTACTGCAAGGCTGAGGTGTGGAGATGAACCTAAAGCCACATAGAGCAGGAGTTAGCTGTCCCCGAGACAGACCCCGGCTGGTTCTGCAGATGCAGAGGTGGCCCTGGCAGCAGTGTCTCCCACCCATTCTGGCCCCTCAGGGACTTGCAGGTGCATGGGCTGTTGCTGCCCCTCATCTTGCCCAGCTTCTACTCAGAACTCTTCACACTCTACCTGCTTCTTCATGAGAGAGAGGACGGCTTGTACAGTCAGGGTATCACCAACCTCAGCCTGTTTCCCGACACAAAGCTGCTGGAGTTCCTGGATGTGCAGAAGTAAGCTTCTCGCTCGCTCGCTTGCTCGCTCGCTCAGCCAGAGATCTAGGGGAGCAGGCAGTTCTACCCAGCCTCAACTGTGAGGTGGACCAGGGCCACCAACCAGCTCCCAACTCATGACACAGAGACTTATTGTTAGTTATAAACACTCAGCCTTAGCTTGGACTTGTTTCTTGCTAGCTCTTATAACTTAATCTTTTTCTGTTCATCTACATTTTGCCTTGTGGCCTTTTTACCTTTCTTTCCTTTTGAATATCTTACTTTCAATGCTTTCAGTTGCTAGAGTATGGTGCCTCTCTTGCTCTCCCCCACCCCTACTGCCTCTAACACATTCTTCTTCCTCAGTGCCCCCCTGACACGTGCATGTCCCAGGTGCTTGGTTGGCCCTGCTGGGATCTCCCACTCTCCTCCAAAGCCCAGGGCCCCTTTGTCACACAGCAGTGGAAGATCACTTCCTTCAGGACCATGTGGCTTCCCCTGGCCTCAGGCTGTGTGTATTTACCTGAGGTTCCTTCCTATTGCGTGTTTAGCCTTCCTGGGAGGGACACAGAAATAGGGCCCGTCCTCTGAGCTCAGACTTGCAAAGTCTCCCATCTGTCTCCCAATTTCAGGCACCTGTGGCCCCTCAAGGACCTCTGGCTGACAAGCAATCAGGTGAGAGGGCAGGGCTCTGCTTGCCTGGGAGGAGGAGCCTGGAGCTTCTGAGTCAGGATTGCCTGGGGAGAGGCAGGTGAGGGAGGAGACCCTAGGCTTCCTTCCTGTCCCAAGTGACTCCCATACTACAGGCTCTTCCTTTTGGCTGGGACTGTGGGTAGCTTACCTGAGCTCTGAGTGCCAGTTTTTTCCTGTGTAAATAGAGTTCCACCAGACCCACCTCATAAGACAGGTCAAGGGCACGTGAGGCCCCTGGCTGTCTCAGGACTCTCTGGAGCCTCCTAGGGAAGGAGATTCTTGGGCTCCACTCCACAGTTTTTTGCAATGCTAGACAAAATCTACCAGCTACTCATATTCACGGTCTTACCTTATGTCCATAAAGGCAAAAAACAAGGGTCAACTCAGAAACCTGAGTTTCAGCAAGTCCTTGGGTCTGGGGACCATTGACATCAGCTTTGGAGCTGTGTGTCACCAAGTGACCTTGGCTGTTCGAATGATTGTTTTTGTCTGTCCATCTTGGTCCTCTCAACCTCTTGGAGCCTCGTCCCCCAGTTTTATAGCTGTGTAAAGTGAAGCTCACAGTGAAGCCGTGGGCCTGCCCTGGACCACTTAGCCATAGTGCAGGGCCGTACTTAAGTCAGCAATGGGGCAGGTGTGGGTGGCAAGGGACCCTGGGGATGAGCATGCCACGCTGGATCCCTGTTTTACCCTCCTATTCACCTTTACAGAGATATTCTCTTGTCCGGGACAAGTGTTTCCTGTCAGCCACGGAGTGTCTGCAGAAGATCATGTGAGTGTCTGCCCAGGTTTGGGGGTGTGGGGTGTGTGTGTATGGTGGTGGTGGCGGTATGTAAGGGCACGGGAGTGCTGTCCCTTCTGACCAGGAGCTACACCCTCCTTACAGCACCACGGTGGACCCTCGCGAGAAGCTGGAGGTGCTGGAGAAGACCTATGGGGAAATTGAGACCACGGTGTCTCGGGTGCTGGGCCGGGAACACAAACTCCCTATGGATGACCTCCTGCCTCTGCTTATTTATGTGGTGTCACGAGCCCGGTGAGTGGGGAGCAGGGTGGATGGATGTGAGACTCGTTCCCACCCTGTCTACACCACACACAGGACAGAGCTGGGGCCATTCCAGAGGTGTCTAGCCCTCTCGGCCAGGGCTGCTCCCCCAGCTGTGGGGTATCTGTAATGCCCCTCTTCTCTTCCTTGTTGTCATGGTACTTTCTCTAGAATCCAGCATCTGGGAGCTGAGATCCACCTGATCCGTGACATGATGGACCCCATCCACACAGGGGGCCTCCATGACTTCCTGCTCACAGCCTTGGAGGTGAGGGACCAGGGCTGGGAGCCCAAGGAAATGTCTCCCTGCCCCCCAACACCGTGGTAGAAAGGGTTCACTGTATGTGTCTCCATGGGAGGGGTCTCTGGTGCTGTTCACAGGGCAGATGGGCTGCACGGACCTTCCGGCTGCAGCTCCAAGCAGCGTGCAGAGGAAAAGCCTCTGCAGAATCCGGCTGACAGCTGGGCCTAACTGGAACAGTGTGCGCACAGGGGGGTGGGGTGATGGCTCTCGGGAGCCTAAGGCCATGTGTATAGTGGGGAGCAGGTCTGCCAGCAAGTTCCAACCTTGCTTATCTCTCCCCCAGTCCTGTTATGAGCACATCCGGAAGGAAGACGTGCGGCTGCACCACCTGCCTGGCCACTGGAACTCTAGGGAACTCTGGTGACATGACCACTCTGGGTCAAGTGCAAAGCTAGGGGCCACGTGGCTGCCGTGGACTTTGGTGGAGCAAGCACTACCCACCTGCCTCCCATTGCCTGGGTCGAGGCAGGCTGTAGAGATGGTGTTTTGCTTCCTACAGGGACACACTCAGCTGCTGCAGTATTAACCCATAGCTGATAGCTCTCTGTTGGCCTCTGGTCTGGGCTTTGATCATCTTGTCCCTGGATGTAGCACCATCTTGGGTGAGAGCCCCAGCTTCACCCTGCCTCCGCCCTTGCTCAGTAGCTGTCAGTCTCCGGACTGCATGCCCGTGATGGTGGAGATGATTCCAGCATTCTGCCAGACCAGTTCACTGAGCGCTGCAGCCGTTCCCCAAGGTCTGGCTTCATCCCGTTCTTTGGACTGAAATGGAAATTCTTACGTTACTGTTCATCTCATTTCTGTTTCTCTGCTCCTGTCTAGAAGGTCCCAAGCAGCAGAAGGCTGTCTGTTCATTCCTTTTCCCATGAGTTCCCAGGGCCTGGGGACCTGCCTCCTCCTCTGCTGGGCTTCAGGCTTCAGCTGGCCTCACAGGAGGACCCTGTGGCAGGAACACCTCAGCTCTGTGACAAGCTGCCTAGTTGCCTCTGGCAGGCCCTGCTCTTGGCAAAGGCATGGGACGTAGACGTCAGCAGTCACTCACCTGGCCTCGCTTGCCAGCAGACTGCAGGTGACCATAAATGACATACCTGAGACACTGGCCTCTCTGTGGCAGGAACAGCAGGGATATTAGAGACTTGCTAGTGCCCTGACATGAACATCTCTGGCTCAGGACCATAGGCGAGGCTGGGCACAGTGCTGGGCTCTGGGTCATTGTGTATAGCTCTGGGAATTCAGCCTGGGTGGGAAGAGGCAAGGGAGACATTGAGAAAGGAAGGTACACACCCAAGGCCAGGGCTGAGGCCCCTGGAAGCATCAGGGAGGACCACCTTCAGAGCCTCTCAGAAAGTGTGAGCACTCCTCAGGGAGGATCACCTTCAGAGCCTCTCAGAAAGTGTGAACACTCCTCAGGGAGGATCACTTCCAGAGCCTCTCAGAAAGTGTGAGCACTACTCAGGGAGGACCACCTTGTGAGCACTACTCAGGGAGGACCACCTTCAGAGCCCGTCAGAAAGTGTGAGCACTGTGTGAAGAGAGGCTGTTGTTCTCCTTCACTGCCGTCTCCGACTGGATCCACCAAATGTTCCACTGTGAACATAGGGCCTGGGCTTGAGTTCTCTCAGGAACTTGTGTCTCCAGGAAGGTCCTTGGAAAGGTCACGTTGATGGAGGCCCCTCCCTCAAAGGCAGCCCCAAGTGCCTGTGACTCGGTCCAGCTGTTGACAAAACCCTGCCACTCACTCTTCTGCTTCCAACACTAACTGAACCTGGGCCTCTGGTCCTTGTGGGTCCACAGGGTTTCCACAGTGTCATGGGAGGTTCCAGGAGCAGCCAGGGCTGTAGCAGACCCTTAGGATAAAATCAGCGTGGAGGAGGATGCAGGAGGAAAAAAGACCGACAGTGCAAGTGGGTACCAGTCAGTCACCCACATCTGGTGCATCCGGAGGCTGGTGGGGCAATCTCGGTGATGGATTCTTTTATAGCCTTTAACTGTCCAGCCTAGAACACCTCCTGGCTTTTGACATGTGAGCCACGCAAGAGGGCAGTCTTGGGAGGTCACGGTTGCTTGCTGTCATCAGTACCCTTACTGCCATAAGAGACCCCAATCCGTAGGCCAGATGTCACTCCACCTCACTTTGTGACTTCCTAGAAAGTAGACCTGGAGTCCGGAGGGAAGACTGAAAGATGGGACATGGTGTGGTTAGCGTCTCTTACATCTATGCCGGCCTTCTCCATTTCCCCTCCTGCCTCATAATGGTTTGATATTTTGCTAGCTGCCCCTCTGGGGATGGTCACAGTTACAGTCAACTTATTTGGGATTTTTAATAAATCCATTTCATCTTTGTGTGTGTGTGTATGTATGTATGTGTGCATGTATAAAAGCAAGAGCTAATATAAAGCGTCTTCCTTGATCATTCTCTACCTTATTTTTGGGGGTAGGGTCTCACCTTGAGCCCGGGGCTCACTGATTCACATAGACTGGCTCACCAGCGAGCCAAAGGGGCTGTCCTTTCTTTGCCACCCACCGCAGGTCTGCGGCTGCAGGTGCCCACCTCTGTGCCCACTGGGTGCTGGGAACAGAAGTCAGGTCACCATGCTTGCATAAGTGCGTTACTGACTGAGCCACCTCGCGTCCCCCACACTCCATTTCACCTTTCATGGCACACTCCTGCCTGTGGGGAGGGGGGGCAGGGAGCATGCAATGCTCACAGATGTCCAGATAGCTGCCCCCTGGTGGAACTTTTAGACATAAGAGAGGCAAGGGCCGTGTTCAGAAGCAGTAATGTTGGAAATAGAGAGCTTGCTTTCGCTCTGTAAGTGGGGATTGAGTCCTTCCCACAAAGGGTATGTATTGTGTGCTGTGTTCAGGGGTACTTCCGGGAGGTCAGAGGGTCCACAGAGTGTTTGCCAGAGCTTGGTAGAGTTGAACTATGCATCTAGGGTTCCTTTATCACTCAGCTGTGAATCTGGTGTTTGGGCACATTTGTCAGGGTCCCTGGACTTTATGTGTTGGGTTTTGAACACCAAAATATTGCCATGCCTGCGTGACATTGTGTTTGGGTGGCTGTGGTCCTTGCCTGGGCTTACATAATCGGGCATCTTGTTTATTTGTTTTTCGAGACAAGGTTTCTCTGTGTATCTTTGGCTGTCCTGGAACTCACTTTGTAGACCAGGCTGGCCTCGAACTTGCAGAGATTCGCTTGCCTCTGCCTCCCGAGTGCTGGGATTAAAGGTGTGCACCACCACCACTCAGCTAATCAGGCATCTTGATGCTTCCACTGTTACTCATTGCCAGAGGCTCCTTCTCCATAGGCTCCGTGTGAGGTATGAACAGAGAGTGGGCCTGTGCTAGCCAGGGCCATAATGTCTGTCTTTGCATGGTTTGGGCCTGCATCATCTGGCTTCCACTGACAGGTACCAGCTGACACTGGGCAGCCCACTGGCTATTGGCTGTCCCTTGGTGAAAATGAACATGGCGTGTTTTCTGGAAGGATCCTTTCCAGGGCAAACATTGCCAACCAGACCTCTACTCATAAGGTAGTTCTTCTTGGTATAGTTTTGGTTTGTAACTACAGTCCTGGTAGGCCCCTTTTAATTAAGCTCATCTACGTCAGGCCCAGACTTTCTCGGGGACCTTGGGGTTTGCAAAGAGCCTAAGGTGCTGTACAGACCTACTGTGGAATGGCTGTATGTGGAAGGTAGGAGTGTGTGTGTGTGTGGGGGGGGGGGGCTTTTCTTACAAGTGGGATATCCCAATGATGATCAAATTAGCTCTATTTTCATTTGAAGACAAATTTTTGCCTGGCACAGCCCACCTTATTGGGATTCCCCCTGCAGACTCACCTCAAGGATGCTGAGGGTAACAATCAATTCAGAAGATTGATCTCTCAGTGTCTGAAGAAGGACACTTAAAAGAAATCCCACACTAGCTCAGAATTGAGTATAACAGAGGATTATTTATTTAGGGGTAGACTCACAGATCACAATCCTCTGCTGGAACAGGAAACAAAAACCAAATCTCACCGCTGGAAAAGAGGCTGGATGGGCGCTTTACATTGGCATAAATAGTATAAGAGGCCACGCCCAAGTGGGCGGGTAACTTAAAGGCTACTGGCGGTAGAAATTCCTACAGCAAGTGTCCTCCTGTGTCAGGTGCCCAAATTAGGGATACTGAACAGGGAGTTTGCTGAGTTCTGCCAGCTGCCTGCATGGGATCGCAATTTGCAGCATTACCACAGACCCTCGTGATTCTGAAGGCTCCAGAAGACACGGAGGCCTGAGAGGGAGTGCTGTCTGCAGCTTCTTGCCATTTTCCTTCAGCATGTCTGCCCCTTTAGGTGGAGTGGTCCCTAATCCCACCTTGTACTGTATACAGTTCCCCTGCAGTGAGGAAAGAGATGGTCTATGAAGACCAACAGGTGATGCCTGCTATCATGTGGCTGGGCCGAGGGAGCACGGTGCCCTCCCAGTCACCAACTGGTCTCATAGTCATATCCTCCCCATGTGAGGGTGCTCCTCACTGGGAGCACTCCCCATAGTGTAGAGCTAGCCGCTGCTTGGAGCCACACTAATCAGAGTGCCACTGGGAAGAGTGACTGTCTCCTCCAGCCCTGGATGATCCCTCTGGCTGCTGAGCCTGGGCAGCTTTTAGGGATGATCTCAGAGATGCCCTGGCTCTCGGGAGGAGCAGTTCCAGTTAGGCTCTGTGGTGAGCCTATAAACACTCCTCCATTGGTGGGATTGGGGAGAGCCCTGTTTTCCTCCTCTCCTGGCTGTCAACTCTGCTGATGCTGTGACCTCTTCTTACTGTGGGACAATGGTCTGTACCTTGTCAATTGCATTTCAATAAAACGCCAAGTAGCCAGGCAGGAAGTACATCTTGTGTCTTTTCTCCAACAGGCATACTTTCTCTGGTGTCATTGTGTCAAGTGTGGTGCATGTGGTGGTCCCTATAGGCTCACAGATCTGAATGCTTGCTCACCAGGGAGTGACATTATTTGAAATGATTAGTAGGGATGACCTTGTTGGAAGAAGTGTGTCATTGGAGGTGGCTTTGAGGTTTTCAAAAGACCAAGCCAGCCCAGTGGCTCTCTCTCTTCCTGCCGCCTGAGATCCGAATGTAGGAACTCTCAGCTCCTTTAGCTCCTTCTCCAGCACCATGTCTGCCTGCCGCCGTGCTGAGAATGAACTAACCCTCTGAAACTGTAAACCAGCCCGATGAAATGTCAGGGTCTCGGTGTCTTTCCGCAGCAAGGAGACATTGACTAAGACAGTGCCTGAGTGGCAGGCTGGTGGCTAACACTGCTGGAGCTTCTGGGGGACTTGGCACACCTCCCTGAACCCCGCCAGCAAAGAGACACAAGACCCACATGGGTTCAGTTTGTCTCTCACAAGGATAGCAGAAGTGTGGCAAGCACAATGTCAGCTCCCAAGGCCCCGGTCCCACTGTGTGACACAAATTGAGCAACCAGGGCCATAGCACAGGCAGTGGGCTATCTAACCACTGTAGGGCTACTTCCAGATTATAGCCAGGCAATTGAAGCCTGTAGCAAAACCTGACAGTGGTGATTGTGGTGGGAATGGTGATGATGATGATAATGGTTATAGATTATGGGGGGTGGTGGTAACTGTGGCCATGGTGGTGGTTGTGGTGACGGTGGAGATGATGGTGGTGGTTGTGGTGATGGAGATGATGGTGGTGGTTGTGGTGATGGTGGAGATGATGGTGGTGGCTGTGGTGATGGTGGTGGTAATGATATATATATATATATATATATATATATATATATATATATATTAGAAAGGTCTGCCATCAGCTGGAACTATGAAGGTGGACTCTAAGGCCTCATAGTGTCTCCTTCCCAGCATCTCTCTTCTCATTCCAGGGGCCGCTGTAGAGCACTGCACCAACACATGCCAGACTGCCAGGAAGCCTTGCCTAAGTGGTCTGTGTGGAGATATGCAAGGTTCCCGGGGTGTCACAAAGAGTCAGAGCCCCTTCTCCATTCCGAGTTTGCAAAGAGAGTTTGCATATCACTCCCCATTCTACTTGAGAATCCAGCATCCCTTCATCCCTGACAGGCCCAGAAAGTGCTCCCAGAAGTCCTGAGTGCTCTGTGCTTCCTTCTGCCCTCCCCAACTCTGTTCTGTCCTCATCCACCCAGTCTTGAGTACATCTGCTTCTCTCTATTCCAGAAGGCATCCTTATCCAGGCTATGGTCACTCTCAAATAGATCCTAGACTTAGCTCCTCCTGTGCCTCTGCTGTCCACACAGCAGCAGGAGGGAGCTTTGAGAAGCCCTCCAGCAGCTTTCCAGAGCACCGGGAATCAAATCCAGTCCCTTTACCTTGGTCCACGTGGCTGCCCTGAATCTCTGCCCATTCGTCACGACTTCTGCCTTCTTTCCTTCTGGCTACATTTACCATCTGTTTTAGTAGTTCTGCAGTCCCTGGTGCCCTTCCTCCACCCCGACCCCTGCTCTTCCGAACAGTCTCCTTCATGTCCTGCAGGTTTCCTGATTCCATAGCACTTCCTGCAAAAGCCTGCTCCCCCAGGGTCTACTGCATCTGCCCCTGTCTGCATCCTGGTGTGTGTTTGTCTTTACTAGTGCATCTGCCCCTGCCTGCATCCTGTCATGTGTGTTTGTCTTTACTAGTACATCTCAATTTCCTGCCCTTTGCTGGAGGGGCCAGGGGAGGCTCTTCGCTCTCTCAGTCAGTACCTCATCCCAGGGATTTGCAAATCCATCCCACGAAACCCCGATGACTGTGAAACTGCAGCTCCCAGCCTCTCTGTGTTCCTCCATCTACCTCCTTCCTCTTTCATGCAGACCAGTAACAACAAAAGTGCTCAAAGCGGCCAGGGCTACACAATGTGGTGCTTGTCTGGGGCTACAGGGAGAGATCTGTGTGCTCCAAGAGGAGGCTCAGACAGTCGAGAGGACTACTGGAGACCAAGGTTGGAAGCACTGTCTCTGATTCTTCAAGAACCTTCCTCCTTAGCTTAGAGTGGTGAACAGTCAATGAGAGAGGGCAGGAAAAGGTAACGACAAGGATTCCAAACCATCTCCCCATAGAATTTCAGATCTGGTTTCCATGGAATTGAGGGGTGGGCAGGGCAGTGGAGGCTGGAAATGAGTTTCAGATTCTTTTACTCTGGTGCCCGTTTGAGAGGAAGACAAGAGGAGTCTGGAATGCCGTCACTTTCCTCACATCCATGGCTGAATTTGCTGAGAGGGATATCCCTCAACCCACTACTGGATGGGGGGAAGCCAAACAGAAGTGGGCCAGGGGTGTGGAGCTTTTTCTTTTCTGGTTTTTTTTTTTTTTTTTTTTTTT